TTGGTTAATTCCAAAAGAATGGAATATTTAATATAGCTCCCTAATATTGGAGGATATGTTATAAAGAGAAGTCACCATGTGAGTCCCTCGATTTAAATGGATCGAAGATCCATACAATTTATTTAGTTGAGGTTTTAAAAAATTAATGATATGATGGCATGATGCAATGCAAATGATGCAACAAACAAAACAAATCACACGACGAAACTCGGAATAGCTGGAAGGCAACTGAAGCTCCGGTCTTGGGGCGTTACACACAAACCCTAAGCAAATCGGTCTTACCGATAGGGATCTCGGTCTCACTGAGATGGGGTTGTAATCTCTCTGTTTCCCTTCGTAACATTTCGGTCTAATCGAAGTGAGCGATCGGTCCCACCGAGATTGCAATGTAAACTCTCTGTTTCCCTTTTATAACATTTCGGTCTCACCGAAAAGAGCAAATCGGTCCCACCGAGTTTACTTGACCAACTCTCTGGAAAGCTTATTACCAAATCGGTCTCACTGAGTTTTTGTAATCGGTCTTACCGAGATTACTTTATGCCCTAACCCTAACCTAATCGGTCTCACCGAGATGCATGTCAGTCCCACCGAAAATCACTAACGGTCACTAGGTTTACTAAATCGGTCCGACCGAGTTTAACAATTCGGTCCCACCGAGTTTGGTAAATTGTGTGTAACGGTTAGATTTTGTGTGGAGGCTATATATACCCCTCCACCTCCTCTTCATTCATGGAGAGAGCCATCAGAACGAACCTACACTTCCAACTTACCATTTTTGAGAGAGAACCACCTACTCATGTGTTGAGGCTAAGATATTCCATTCCTACCATATGAATCTTGATCTCTAGCCTTCCCCAAGTTGCTTTCCACTCAAATCTTCTTTCCACCAAATCCAAAACCTATGAGAGAGAGTTGAGTGTTGGGGAGACTATCATTTGAAGCACAAGAGCAAGGAGTTCATCATCAACGCACCATTTGTTACTTCTTGGAGAGTGGTGTCTCCTAGATTGGCTAGGTGTCACTTGGGAGCCTCCGACAAGATTGTGGAGTTGAACCAAGGAGTTTGTAAGGGCAAGGAGATCGCCTACTTCGTGAAGATCTACCGCTAGTGAGGCAAGTCCTTCGTGGGCGGCGGCCATGGTGGGATAGACAAGGTTGCTTCTTCGTGGACCCTTCGTGGGTGGAGCCCTCCGTGGACTCGCGCAGCCGTTACCCTTCGTGGGTTGAAGTATCCATCAACGTGGATGTACGATAGCACCACCTATCAGAACCACGCCAAAAACATCCGTGTCTCCAATTGCGTTTGAATCCTCCAAACCCTTCCCTTTACTTTCTTGCAAGTTGCATGCTTTAATTTCCGCTGCCTATATACTCTTTGCATGCTTGCTTGAATTGTGTGATGATTGCTTGACTTGTCCTAAAATAGTTAAAATCTGCCAAACTCTAAAATTGGGAAAATGTTAAGTTTTTATTGGTCAAGTAGTCTAATCACCCCCCTCTAGACATACTTCAAGGTCATACAGTAGGGTCTACACACTTAATGTTCGGTGACCTAGAGTTATAATGAGAAATCGTATGTGGTTACCGAAAGTTGTTTGGAGTCCCGAATGAGATCCCGAACGTCATGAGGAGTTCCGGAATGGTCCGGAGGTGAAGATTTATATACGGGAAGTCCAGTTTCAGTCACCGGAAGGTTTCGGGGTTATCGGTTGTACCGGGACCATCGAAAGGTGTTCGAGGGTCCACCGGGTGGGGCCACATACCTCGGGGGGGGGGGCAAGTGGGCTGAATATGGGTGGGTACCAGCCCCCTAGTGGGCTGGTGAGCCCTCCCAAGGGCCCAAAGCGCCTAGGGTTGGAAACCCTAGGGGTGGGGGCGCCTCCCACCTGCTTGGGGGGCAAGTTTCCCCCCTTGACCGCCGCCCCCCTCTAGATGCATCTAGGGGGGCCGCCCCCACTTCCCTTTCCCTTATAAATAGTGAGGGGGTGGGAGGGCAGCCGCAACCCTTCCCCTGGCGCAGCCCTTCCCCCCTTCCAACTCCTCCTCCTCCATAGTGCTTAGCGAAGCTCTGCCAGAGAACCACGAGCTCCACCACCACGTCGTCGTGCTACTGGAGTTCTCCCTCAACTTCTCCTTCCCACTTGCTGGATCAAGAAGGAGGAGACGTCCCCAGGCTGTACATGTGTTGAACACGGAGGCGCCGTCCGTTCGGTGCTTGGATCAGATCTTCCGCGATTTGAATCGCCGCGAGTACGACTCCATCAACCGCGTTCTTGTAACGCTTCCGCTTAGCAATCTTCAAGGGTATGAAGATGCACTCCCTCTCTCTCGTTGCTAGCATCTCCTAGATTGATCTTGGTGGCACATAGAATTTTTTTTGAATTATTACTGCATTCCCCAATAGTGTCATCATGAGTTAGGTCTATGCGTAGATTCTATGCATGAGTAGAACACAAGTAGTTGTGGGCGATGATTTGGTCAATTTGCTTACCGTTACTAGTCCTATCTTGATTCGGCGATATTGTGGGATGAAGCGGCCCGGACCGACCTTACACGTACGCTTATGTGAGACAGGTTCCACCGACTGACATGCACTTGTTGCATAAGCTGACTAGCGGGTGTCTGTCTCTCCCATTTTAGTCGGATCGGATTTGATGAAGAGGGTCCTTATGAAGGGTAAATAACAATTGGCATATCATCGTTGTGGCTTTTGCATAGGTAAGAAACGTTCTTGCTATAAACCCATAACATCCACGTAAAACATGCAATAACAATTAGAGGACGTCTAACTTGTTTTTGCAGGGTATGCTATGTGATGTGATGTGGCCAAAAGGATATGATGAATTATATATGTGATGTATGAGATTGATCATGTTCCTGTAATAGGAATCACGACTTGCATATCGATGAGTATGACAACCGGCAGGAGCCATTGAAGTTGTCTTAATTTATTGTATGACATGCGAGTCAATATAAGCGCCATGTAATTACTTTACTTTATTGCTAACCGTTAGCCATAGTAGTACAAGTAATAGTTGGCGAGACAACTTCATGAAGACACGATGATGGAGATCATGGTGTCATGCCGGGTGACGATGGTGATCATGCCACGCCTCGAAGATGGAGATCAAAAACGCAATATGATATTGGCCATATCATGTCACTTACGATTTGCATGTGATGTTTGTCATGTTTACATCTTATTTGCTTAGAACGACGGTAGCATAAATAAGATGACCCCTCACTAAAATTTCAACAAATGTGTTCCCCCTAACTATGCACCGTTGCAAAGGTTCGTTGTTTCGAAGCACCGCGTGATTATCGGGTGTGATAGATTCTAACGTTCGCATACAACGGGTGTAAGCCATATTTACACATGCGAAACACTTAGGTTGACTTGACGAGCCTAGTATATACAGACATGGCCTCGGAACACGAGAGACCGAAAAGGTCGAACATGAGTCGTATGATAGATGCGATCAACATGGCGATGTTCACCGTTGATGACTAGTCCGTCTCACGTGATGATCGGACACGGCCTAGTCGATTCAGATCATGTATCACTTAGATGGCTAGAGGGATGTCTATCTGAGTGTGATATAAACTGAACCTCGTAGGCGACATCCGATCTATTGTTACGACCCGATCTTTCACGACACTCCACCACCAATAGTAGCAACCTCTCGCCCGCGCATGCGATGTACACGAAATAGAGGGTTTGAACCTTGCGGCTCAGCACAAGAAAACCAATCTCGACGACGGTACTCACGTGCAAAACAATTTTCTCAAAGAGAAATCGCAACACAGAGGTTTTCTAAAGCTTCCTCCAAAACTTAAGGATTTTTAGACAGCTTCCCCCAAAACTGAATACGGGTATTTACCCTAAAAATACATCGTGTTTATTCATAAAAATATAACATGGTTTTACATGGCCGTACTATGCCTATTTAAACCTATATAAGGACCCTAGCCAACTGCCTCTAGGATGTTCCCTCGAATGTGCCATTCGTGGCCGTCAGATCGGGGTAAAAATCCCACCTTGGCTCTCCTCATCCATTAGATATTCACTGCGAGTTTCACCTTGTTGTTTCTTTCACGTGTGTATGACGAGTGGGCCGCTTTCTCGGTGGGGTCGCTATGTGTTGGCTGGGTGCGGGGTGAAACGGTGCGGCTGGTCGTTCATCCCGAAAAGCCCATTGGTCGCCCAAACCCCATAGCCGCACGCCCGCACCTCCCTCACTCGTTTCAGCCGCACGAACCCTAGCCGCCGCCCCGCTCGCATTCGTCCTCCATCCCTGGTACGAGCTCCTCCTCCTCTGTCTATGTCTGCCCTGAGCTCCTCCTCCTCCGTCCTCACGTGCTCCACCCCGAGCCCTGCCTCTTCCACCCCACCCGGACTTCGCCTCGTCTGTTCGCTCGCCAGTTCAAAGGGCAGGGCCAGAGAGCCGTGGCGAGTCCTCGGGAGAGGAGATGAAGGCAAAAGCGGAGCAGAGGAAACCAAGAAGGCGAGGGGCGAAGGAGGGATGGGACAAGGCCATGAAGAGCATGGTGGACGAGATCGCGTTGCTGTCGACGCGGGTGGGTCCATGGGATGGCGATGTGTGGCGCCGGTGGCTCAAGGAGGAGTATCGCACCCTCATCGCCTACACCTAGGTGAACAAGGCCAAGGACAACCACTTGTTCCACATCTCCGCCGCCAACCATAGGGTACCCACTGGGAGGGCACCTGCTGGTACGTCCACAACCTCCGCCGCTATGAGTTTCCCCTCCAGTTTGACATCCCCGTCGCTCACCCCAGGTCGCGCCCGAGATCGAGCTCTGCACGCTCGATTCAAGTCCCACAAGGTTTGCATCCTGTTTACTTTTCCGTACTGTCTACACGGGTGGATTCCTGATTGTAGATTCTGATTCTTGTTGTGGATGGGATATGGATGCAGGTGTACCACGAAGGGAAGATCTGCCTCACTATGCACTTCAGCCATGCACACTAGCGATGGTACATGATTGGCTTCCTGGTGGAATCAGGTGCGTGTCGTCCATGCTGGCCTGTTGTGGGTGTTGGCGGGCGGCTGGAGGCGGCTGCAGCAGGTCGATTTATGTGACTACTGAAAATGAGCTTTAGAATATCTGTAGAACTTATCCACTTCCAGCCAAATGTCAAGTATGATAATTCCACCATGTACCATGATCATTTGAACAGTCTTGCTTAAGTTTATGTTAGCTCTATATGCTAATTGGAGGAGATTGTTAACTTTAAGGTCGCAGCATTTATAAAATGACGATTCTATCTTTTTTGGGGGATTTTGCAATTCCTATGGAATTAAGAGGTCATCTATTGGCCTATCCCTCTTTGTAATTTCAAATAGTTATTTTTTGGTGCACTTCTATTTTAGAAATGAATCAGTAGCCAATTATGCTTGATGTTTCAAGCAGAACTAGAATTGGTAAACAACTATCTATGAAGCATATATGGAGGCGGGGGTGTGGTTTGTTTTTTTGCTATGTGCCTATTTGCTTAAGAAAATACTTGATTGGAGAGCAGATTCCAAATGGAGCTGCATTTTCATGCTTT